TATTCATCTTTGTGCCAACCACTGGGGTGAATTGCTTCATTCTCATAAACTCTCTCCCATATTAGTGAAGGAGCGTTCATTCTGCAAGAGATGGGTGAATTCCCATTGTTTCTGAAGTCGGGCCACCTTTAGGTAATATTCTTTCCAAAATGCTTCCCCAAACTTAGACTAGGAGATCACACCTCCATCAAGACTAAAGATATCCTGAGTGGACTGCCACCATATTTCAGCGTCAACTTGCACATGAATGATACACACGACACTTTCTGGTCATTCAGGTAATTCATCAAACAGAATATCATCTCCATCGACAACATCCACAGTTGCACCATCGTCATATCCTCCGAGGTCCCATTAAAGATACAAGAGTTGCACCTCCTAAAATCTCAAAGGTACCTGCCCTCTTGTGTTGTTGGCTTACTGGTTGACCACTATGATCTGCATCATGGCCTTAAATGACTCGAACTCAGGGGGATTGTGAGGTCTAGTCGAGCTACAAGTGCTACCTCGTCATCTTATAAGGGGTCGTCCTCCTCTTCGGCCTTTTCCATGATTTGTAGGTGACATAATCTAGTTTATGTAAACTAGGGAAGATGTGAACTTTTAATTTTGTGTTCCATATTCTCTTTTAACATTTTTGTTATTTTTTAATAAATTAATTATGTTGGAGCTAAAATTGCTTTTTTATTTATTAATCCTTAATTATGTTTGGTCTAATCCTTTGATGAATTTTAAAAAAATATTAATTAGATAATTTTTTTTATTAAATACAAATTAATAATTTAGTAACTTATTATTATTATTACTGGTTATAATAGAATTTCTAACCTAAGAGACTCAATTATTCTATTTGGTAAAATACATCATTAATTACTTTCTATACTCAAAATGAATTTTTTTAAAATAAATTATTTTAGTTAAAACCTTATAAATCAACTTTTTAAAAAGAAAAATAAAAATCTATGGTTTAATTTTAAAATCTTTCAAATTTTCACATTGGAAATGACCAAAATACCCTCGCACAATTGTTGCCTATCGTCGACCACTATCAATAACATCTTTGACAATCATTGTCAGCAACGACCATCGTGGCTATGGATGCAAACAGTAATGACCATTTCTAACTATTAAAGGCCATCGTTAGCGACTAGTACCCACCACTGCACAACAACCTCGGTTATAAAAAAAAATATAACTAATAAGATGGATTATATATAATATATATATGATTATTATTTTTATTTTTAAATACACAATATTATTATTATTATTATTATTATTATTATTTCCTTGTTGAAATAAAAAGAAGAACGGCGGAAATGAAATGAAAATGTTCGTAGGCTTTCCCAATCACAGATCCCTCCAGCTTGGCTTCGTCTTCTAATCAGAGAGGGAGAGAGACTCGAAACCTCTGTTCTTCCAATTCTCTCTCTCTGTGTTGTCTACAGATTTGAGCTGATCCCGTTTCCCTTACGATGCCTTCCCGCAGAAGAACCCTCTTGAAGGTCATAATCCTTGGGGATAGCGGGTGAGCAAATCCCTCTTCTTCTCTCCTCTTTCTCTTTCTAATCTTTTAATATTCGGATTTCTTTTCAATACTCGTGGATCCACCCAGATCGTTACTTCCCGAGCTTTGGGAATTTTCTTTTGTGGATTCTTGAATTTGCTGCCATTTGATCTGGCCGGGATTCAAATGGGGTCTCAAGATTCTGTGTACTCCGATTTTGAATTGCTTCATGCTTTGAGTTTCTTGGATTTTTCTTGCTTCTTTTTATTGTTTACTTTTTGGAAAAAGGGCTTTTGTCTTGTTTGGTTGATAGTACTGGAAAAAATTCAAACTATTTGGCTGTTATTTGTAGGTTTTGATATGGGTTGCTGTATTCTGGTTTGTTTGAAGTCTAATCTATGATAACTTGGAACTTGGCTTTGAATTTGCAGGGTTGGGAAGACCTCTTTGATGAACCAGTATCCTGCTTGATCATTGAATTATAACTATGTTATAATGCAACATTTTCCATTCGAGTTTCTTTTTTTGTAATGATTCTCCTAGTTTATAGAGTATCAGTTTCTTGATTCTCCGTGTGGTTTTCTTTAGCTTTGAAAAACAGATATGTGAATAAGAAGTTTAGTAATCAATACAAGGCCACTATTGGAGCTGATTTCTTGACTAAAGAGGTGCAATTCGAAGATAGACTTTTCACTTTGCAGGTTCGTGGTGGGGAGGCTTTAATTTGCCCATGAATATGCTCTTTTTTATTGTTCTAATTTGGTGAATTCCCGTGAATTGATAGTAATCACAAAGTGCACAAAGGCACCTCAATCTAGTGTGTGTTCATATGGAAAATGGTATGAACTCGATTGATCCATCTGGGAAGATACCAATTTCTTGGATGACCTTTTGAAACGGATACCTGTGTTCTAATTGTTTATGATTAGCAAGAACATGGCTATGATGGCTGCATCCTTTCGTGTATTGGACTCGGTTTAACCTCTTAGTGATTAGATCCCATTTAGTAGCATTTCATTGCCATCTCCTGAGAGCTGTGGCATATAGGTTTAATGTAAACCCATGAAGCCAACAAGCAACAAAGAGACTCGATATGTCCCGTTAAATGTAATTTATTCCTTTATGCCTTACAGATATGGGATACAGCGGGCCAGGAACGGTTCCAAAGTCTCGGCGTTGCTTTTTACCGAGGTGCTGATTGCTGCGTTCTGGTGTATGATGTCAATTCAATGAAATCATTTGACAACCTTAACAACTGGCGGGAAGAATTCCTTATACAGGTTTTTTCATGTGTTTATGAATTATCTCGTTACCAGAAAGCCATTAGAAGAATTCAAATAAGTTGAACAGAAACCTGAACATCTTTTGACATTTTTGTAAAACCATCTGCAGGCGAGCCCTTCAGACCCCGAAAATTTTCCCTTTGTTGTTTTAGGAAATAAAGTTGACGTTGATGGTGGAAACAGTAGAGTTGTAAGTATTACCTAATTTTCTATACTGTATCATTTCCTCGTTCTATCTCCAGAAGATAGTGAAATGTTTTGTTTTTCTGAATATTTCAGGTTTCAGAGAAAAAGGCACGAGCTTGGTGCGCGTTGAAAGGAAATATTCCATACTTTGAAACGTCTGCCAAAGAAGGCATTAACGTAGAAGAAGCTTTCGAATGCATTGCGAAAAATGCCCTCAAGAGTGGGGAAGAGGAAGAGATGTAAGTTCATATGCCGAGCCATAATTTCTGAGAATCAAATATATAATTAACTCTCAGTCTCTCTGAATTCTATTCTTAGTTATTTAATGTACACGTACATAAAATACGAAGCTAAGTAACTGTTCGTTACATAATCATGAAATTCACCCAGGAATAACATCTCAATTTCCTTCTGTGTGCCAACAACTCGAGTTGATATAGGTGTTCGATGTTGAGGATTGTTGGGAGAGGAATCCCACATTGGCTAATTAAGGGGTCGATCATGGGTTTATAAGTAAAGAATACATTTCCATTGGTATGAGGCCTTTTGGGTAAAGTAAAAGCATACCATTGTGGAGGGTTGTGGTTTCTAACATGGTATCAGAGTCATGCCCTTAACTTAGCCATGTCAACAGAATCTTCAAATGTCGAAAAAAGAAGTTGTGAGACCCGAAGGTGTAGTCAAAAGTGACTCAAGTGTCAAATAAAGGGTGTACTTTGTTCAAGGGTTCCAGAGAAGGAGACGAGCCTCAATTAAGGGGAGGCTGTTCGAGGGCTTCACAGGCCTCAAGGGAGGCTCTATGGTGTACTTTGTTCAAGGGGAGGATTGTTGGAAGAGGAGTCCCACATCAGCTAATTAAAGGGTTGATTGTGAGTTTATAAGTAAGGAATACATCTCTATTAATATGAGGCCTTTTGGGTAAACAAAAAATAAAGCCATGAAAGCCTATGCTCAAAGTGGACAATATCATACCATTGTGGAGGGTCGTGGTTTCTAACGGTTCAATTGCAAAAACTCACCCAGTTTTTTGGTTCCAAGATTGGCATGTGCTTATTGCATGTCATAGATTGGCAGCATGTGGGCAGGATCCCAAATGCATCGTATAGCTTATAGCGAACTTAATGATGAGCTATAGTTTAGCTCTAGCAGTAGAATTAGTTTGTAATTTTGACCTGAGGCTGTGGATATGTAGAATCTAGTTCCTCCTAAATGGCTGCATTTCCTAATTGCTCTTCAAAATTCCCTAACTTCGTTGCTTTAAACTTTCTATCATCAATGCTTCATTGGTCCACCTTCTGGCTATTAACTTTCACTTTCACAAAACCTTTGTTGATTGATGGTTGCCATGTTATTGCAGATACTTGCCCGACACGATTGATGTTGCGACCAACAATCAGCCAAGATCATCTGGATGCGACTGCTGAGTTCGATATACCGAGTCTCTTCTTATTCCATTTCAGTCTCCAGTAAAGCAGAAGTCTTCTTTAAAGGTCTTACGGACTCGGGCTTTCTACGCGTTCCTATTTGTACATTTGGGTTTTGCATTCGAACGAGTCCCATCATTATCAGTTCACTTGTGTTTGGTCTATGAAAATTGTGTTTGCTGTCTTAGGTATATTCATTATCCGTCTGGTGATTGAATCTGTTGTGCCTGAGCCTCATTTGTTGATGACAATCAGTTGTTGCATAAGTTCATATAATTCTTCCTTCTCAGTCAGAGTTTTTGGGATTTTTTCTTTAAGAGAACTTGTGATTCTTGTTTCTATGATAGGATGATTCTGGTTCTTCTGTTCATGCTTTGGTTCATGCTCCAATATATTTCCAATCTGTGTAGTGGCAATTTAAAGTTATAAGAACTTATCGGAGGTATATACCCTCGACTAAAAGTTTAGATATTTGAATTTTCCACTCGAACATGAGAATATTCTTATGGCAACTTGAACTGTCAATAATCTAAAATTGATAACGAGCTCGTTAGCGAGCATAGCGATAGGCTGGTTAACATACCACAAGCCTAACAGATCTGGCAAGCTAAATTATACTCTTTCCTCCCAAATTCCAAAATCTACTAAAATACAACACAAACATCAAATGGGTTATACGATAAACTGAAGTGAGTTCTGCTGTATTACAATGGTTGCCATCTCTATCAGTAAGCTAATATTTGATTTACTTGGAACCAACAGAAGAAAGTGTGTCCTGATGATTTGCAGGTGAAAAATGAACTTACAGAAATTGTGGTACTGGTGTTGGTTGGTTGCATATTTCGGGTTAGGATTAGTAGCAGCTAGCTATACCCGTGGTCCAGAAGTTGGTGGCCTTTGGGGCGCCATGCCCATTGGAGGCTTTGGAACTGAGTTTGGGAAGTTCCTAGCCATTCTGTTTCCTGGCAACACCGGTGCCACACCTCGTGATGCCGAAGCAGGTAAGCCAAGTCGAGCAGCAATTATCTGCGCACGTTCCTGGAAAAGCCTTTGCTTTGACCTGTCCAGTTGCTCCCTGACTCTCATTGACACGTTGTCCATGTCGTTGAAGAATGCTAACTTGCTTTCCAACTTATGCAGCTGCCCAAAGAAGGGGTAATAATTTCATTAAAATGTAATAAAAATCGATCGAAACCAACTTTGATCGATATACCTGTTTCTCGATTAATATCATGGCAAGTTGACGAATTTGATCTTCTTCTTGATTAGCCAGAACTTTTGCCTTCACAGCTGCTGCTGCAAGCGTCGTAACTGCAGCACGCTTCAGCTTATCGACTTTTTCCTCTTTCTTACTTGTACATTTGGAATTTTCTTCTTCATTGTTCTTGCTTTGATTATCATCTGTTATGAACAAATAAACAGGCACGATAAATAACACAGGCAGTCAGTATATAAACCTAAAAGAACTATACAAACATTTTGAAACCTCAGAGAACTTCTGGCCGAACCTAGCAAATGAAAGAAGATTGATGATCTGCTCGTGTTATTCAATTTTATTTTGAATATAGTTAATTAATTAATTGATTTTGGTTGACCAAAATTAATTTACTTAATTATTTTTCAATTATAACAAATTAATCGATCATTTATAATCAATTAACTATTTCTTTGACTAATTTTGATGAGTACATTCATTATGAATGTATCATAATTAATCAATTAAAATTAAAAATAATAATATTCATATATTTATTCAATTAATTTTGTCGACAAAAATATATCAATTAATGAACTTATCTGCTAAAATCATATTCAATTATCCAATTAAAAGGATTTATTATTTTTAATAAATCAATTTTGGATTTAAAAAAGATTAGTTTTTAGTGATATTTTGAATTAATTTTTTTATTGTTTCATTAATTAATCTATTAAATTATATATAAGGTTATCTCCATTAGTTCCATAAAATAAATATAAACATAATTTGTACTCATAAATTCCAAATAACGTTATCATGCACAACTAAACACAATAATCTTTTATACCTAGCAATCTTATTTCCAAGCATATCAATGACAGATACCCGTTCATTCCAAGCATCTATAAAGTCTTAAACCAAACGACCTCTTAGAAGATATCACCAACACCAATACTTTTTGTACCACGTTCATTTTCTAGCTTCTTGGTCGTGTCATAGTAACAACTAATTCTTTTCGGGGATTTTCCCGTCCTTAGATATATATATATATATACACACACAAATGATGAGCACAGCAGATCGAACACAGTTTTCATCATAATATATTATACTAGAAAAAACAAAGGATGAGAAAAGCACAAGAAATTATACCATCTTGTTCACAAAGAACCAAACGTAATTCTGTGATCTTAAAGCATATGTTGCAGGACTCATCACCTTCAAATCATTCTCTACAACTCTTTCAAACATGTCTCCTAACCTTTAACACATCCAATTTAATACTCTCCCAACACTCTTCAGACAAGGTAATCAAGTCGAAACAAAACTAAACGCTACATGCTTAATCTCCGAAACTTATCTCTACTATGCATAGGCTGCCATTCTAACTCATCCACGAAAACCCTAAAAACTTGGAGAAGGAAAAAAAAAATTGCTTAAATAGTTGCTCCATCATATTATTAAAGCAAAGACAAAGTTGAGATACTATTAAAAAAAGTGTTACAGCCCCCTTTCTTCCCATGAAACTCTTGATTTCTAGTCCAACTTGTTTCCTCTTCTGCAAAACCAATCCAAATGAGCAAAGGGAGAAGGTGTCTCATTCCAACCAAGGGAGGTTACAAGAAGACCTTCCAATCTAAGTTAATGAAGATGGGTGGAGTAAAGGAACTTGGGATGGCTACTCCAATTGGAGGTCATGGACTTTGGCATAGGGTACTTTGAAGGATAAGAAATAAAGTGAATCTTCACTATGATTGGTTTTGTCGAATACAGTATGATTCCCCCAAGAAAATTACACTTTCTCCAAGAAGAAAGATACTGCCATCCGTTTTTACCACTAGAACAAGGATTTATCTCTCATGAAAAAAAGTGGATACATTTCTTGAAATAGTAGTACTAAACACTTTTTTCCAATGTATAAGTACCTTAATGCTGCACTTATAAGGATTGGCGTTTGTACTAATGTGCCTGAATTAAGTGGCACGTTAAAAGAACATGGCGCCAATCTAATCCCTCCAATTCAAAGGAGATGGAAGAACTAGACGAGAAAAGTTGATGAGAGTGGTTAAGTACTTCTGTATAATTTCTAAGAGAGATTCAACACAAATTCCATCGTTTCTGATCAATTTATATCCATTTTTCACACTTCCTTCCACTGAACTATTATGGAAAGATAAGAGTTAATTTCCTGGGTTTAAACCGTTTTCTTTGGAGGAAATATATGATTTTATTGATGAATGAAGTGTACAGAAGAAAGGATTAACCCAGCCACTATAGCGACTAAGGTAGTTGCAAAAAAACCCTCCAATTAGCGACTAAGGTAGAAAAACTACAATGAGAATAAAAATTCAGCTATTCCTTTCTTCCCAATGATTCCAAAAGAAGACTATTTGATAGATAACCAAAGAAGCTTATTCTCTAATGATTCCAAAAGGGTGTTCCAAGAGAAAGATGGCTAAGAGATCTTGGATGTTTCCCGTCACCATGAACCAATCAAAAGCAGCAAGCACAAACTCCCAGAAATTTCTTGCAAAGGTGCAATAGGCAAATAAAAGGCAGTGCCATTCTGTAGCCTTCATGCACATAACACAATTAAGTGATATTGCAAGATATTTATAGCAACCTTTTTTAAGTCAAGCAGTTGGGTTAATACCTCCATGTCTTAGCTCCCGTAAAAATAAAAATAAAAACTTCGATTTTCCTCGGGTAAAAACCTTTCCTGATTGCCTTGTACAGGGGATTTTTTGTGGAACCATTAAGGTTTAACCTTTTATCTGGGCAATTCTTCTCTGGTATGCAACCTCTCAAACTATTCTTTCAATTCAAGCCCCTCTTCTCTCAACACCTCGGAACCTTCACTTATAATTTTTATTTTCAACAAACTTTTCTCTTCTGTGTTGCCCATAGACTTGTTTATTCAGTTCCAGAGTTCAAGACCACTTCAGGTTTTTTCATTTAGGAATGTCCAAGCAAACCAGAGAACTCTTGCCAATTCATCTTGTGAGTAGTATAAAAGGGTAAGAGTTAATAGTCAAAGCCCATTTTGAACTCTTGCCTACTCTTCCATCCAAGCCTCTTGTCTAATTTGAAGGAAATAATCTTCCTATTGGCAGGTAGAAATTTATCCTACCTTTAATGAGCAAGATTTTCTCTAAGATTCGACCAAATAAATTGGCGTTAAGACATTGGACATCCCAAGTTCAGAGTTCCTAGCAAACTTAACAGAAGTCCTAAACTCCTTCTGCGGTTCTTGATGATCCTTTTTCTCAGAAACATACATCACAGTGCATGATAAAGTTCCTAAAAACAAATCAAAGTCAATATTGTTCAATAGGAAATAACTTGTATTTCCCCATCCCCTTGGAACGTGCAAGCTTTGGAAAGTCTTGAACAGTTTCTTAAAAAACTCAAAAATGTAACCTGCCTGGTGGGAGGTCCATAGACTACAAAATTAAAACTAGAGGAAAACTACAAAAGAAACACGCACCTGTTCCTTTATCAAGAACTGGATTTTGTTTAACTGGCTGTGGAGTTGCATTCTCTTCTGTGGGCAAAGAATCAGAGACCTTGCTTGCTCCCTGGTCAACCAAAGATTTAGATGTTTCAGTTTGTGCAGGTTCACTCTTATCTCGAGGATCAGATACCATAGCTACATCACTTGAGGCTACTTTCACTGAAGTGGCAGCAAAAAGTGGCTGAAGTTCATTCACGGAAGGTAAAGGATTTGGCACATCATCTATTTTTGAAGTATTGACAGAAGGAGATGGATCTTGTCTCTGAATCTCAGTTTTTTCAGCATACTGTAGATCTGAGATATGTATATCCTTTGATAACAACGTAGATTGTGATGGCTTTTCAAAAGAAGTTTCTTCTCCCAATTTTTCAAATGTATTTGTTGTCAATTTTGATTCCATATTTTCAGTTTCCTTAACAATGCCTGTTCTATCATCCTTGGGCACTTCTGGTTCTGTCAGTTCTTTCAATTTATTTGTTCCATCTGAACCATGATTAACCATTGGATCGTGTTCCTTAGTAGCATCTGAAGAATTTCTATTCTCCATTGTTGTTTCCTCTGTCACAGATTCTCCATTTTTGTAATCAATGTTAGTCGTTGATAAGGCTCTGTCATCTAAGACTGAAGTAGAATTGTCTTTCCTCTGTTTTTCACACTGTTCATTGACATTTTGCTGAGCTTCTGGTTCTGTCAGTTCTTTCAATTTATTTGTTCCATCTGAACCATGATTAACCATTGGATCGTGTTCTTTAGTAGCATCTGAAGAATTTCTATTCTCCATTGTTGTTTCCTCTGTCTCAGATTCTCCATTTTTGTAATCAATGTTAGTCGTTGATAAGGCTCTGTCATCTAAGACTGAAGTAGAATTGTCTTTCCTCTGTTTTTCACACTGTTCATTGACATTTTGCTGAGCTTCCACATTGACAACCCTGCAATAGTATCAGTTGTGATCAAAGAATAGAACTAAACTGAAACAAACATGTCAAGTCTCAACGTCAAGTACCTCTCTGAATTAGCTTGTGCCTTGTCATCTAGTGGATCTTCTAAAATAAAGCAGTGTCTTGTAGCCAGATCTAAACTGGGAGATTTCTGAGATATGCTTTTCAAAGAAAAATGAGCTGATGCACCGGCAACATCAGATCCAACTAAGCGTGCAAGGAATGCAGCCTGAAAAGGAAGTATTTAATAATTTAAACAACCAGCAATAAAATTTATGATTATAGGGAGTGCTAATTACTGATAAGAACAAAGAGTATAGGCTTAAGCATTTCTGCTCCATCTATAAATATGATAAACATGATAGTACCTAACTGAAGGTAATTCTGGGCAACAACAGAAGTCAATGAATGAGAACTTGCAACAAAGATAACTGTCAAAACTTGGTTCATGTAAACACATATCTCACAGAAAACTTCTAGAAGGCTAAAGCAGGTTCAAGCTAAACCAACGTTTTCTAGCTAGGATAGAAAATTATTTGAATTGAATATAAAAGAAGAAAAGGAAAAAGATAGCAAGAATCTAGAATCAACAAAGTTGACGTGCACCTCCAAGCAAAGTAGTAAGTTCATACAAAGTGAACGTCAAACTGCTCCTTTGCAGTGCAGACCTGGTGCATCTTATAGGCTAACAAGAATTAAAATGCCTGCCATGTCATCCAAAAGATTCATCACGTGAACAATCATCTTCTATTTTTGGGACTTGGAAAATTGAAGAAAATGCCAGAAACCAAGTTCAACAGACACAAGGAACCTACTTAGGTGATGACTTAAGTTTTTGGTTCACTGCACAATTATAAAAAGTGGTTATATTTTTAGATGCTTTTTAATGAAAAGCAAAAAACATCAACATCATTAGACTTAATCCTAAACTGATTCAGAGAAACAATGGAAACACCATATATTGATCCGACAAATGACAAATCTACTATAATTGATTTGAGATATACCAATGAATTAAAAATTATCAAGATCGATCAAATAAAATGAGGAAGACTACCTATTTCATTAGTTCTTATACTCTAAATTTCAACTTACCAGTGCCATGACAGGGTTCCCTACACCAGAAAATGAAAGTGGGTGCTGATCAGATGTTAATACATAACCAATGGCTTCAAATGCCTCCCTCAAAGCATTCAAGGCAATGTCTTCAGAAACCTTCTGACCACCATCTTCTGATTTCGAGTTGTCTAAAGCAGCTTTTACTTCAACATCCTTTGATTTTGAATTATCCTGCCCCACTTTTACCTCAACTGTATCTTCCTTGCTGGCATTTTCTACATTTGAGGCCTCTTTTCTAGTAGTCTTGTTATCCATCGATTCAGTGATATCCATGGGAACTGACGAATCATTTTCATTTGATGGTGGAACAACAGTTTCTTTTGCACCGACTTCATCATTGTTCTCAGATTCAAGAAAGCTATCTTCAATTGGCATTTGAATGAAGTGCAATATACATTGGGCTTTTGTTTTGGTGGCCACATGTTCTGCAATCTCATTCCAGTTTTCCTTATAAAGCTCTAAAGCCTCAAGGAGGAGGAGAGTTTCCTGATCTGTCCACTTACCTCCACTAGCACCAGGAACCTCAGCAGACTCCATGAGAATAAAATCTGATGAAGACATATCAGAATCAAATTTCCCATTGTTAAAGCACTCCGAACATAAATCAAAATCTGCCTGTCAAAGATGAATACTATTAGTTGATATGTAAATGATACATAACATTTGACTGGCGAGACAACTCATGAAATTTAGATGTCATGATTATGCATCCATGCGATTCCTGAAATACGAATTTGATATTCCAACAATAAACTGTTTAAGGAAGGAGTTTTGAATTGAAAACCAACCTGCTTCTGGCAGTGGTACCGTTTCCGAGAGCAATCACCAGAGCACGAGTTACAGTGGTACTCAACAGATGGACCCTCAGGCCTCACCATCTCTTCAGAAATTGCAGATTCTCGAAGCAATCTTGGTGGAGCGGTGGTAACATTAGTCTTTGGAACAACAGATGGAGAGGATTCTAATGTTTCAAAGTGAAACAACTTCTCAACCAAAGAGTCCTTTTGATTTTCATCATCAACATCACTTGTTGAAGTTGAATCTGCAGATAGGAAAGGGTGAAAATTAATCAAACCCCAATGGTCTAGAAACTCCATCACCTCCTGTCTAGCCTCTAGTTCTCCGATTTCCATCTCTGATACATCTTTTGACTCAATCTGCGTACTAGGATTTGCATGGAATTTTTTCATAATCCAATTACGTATCTCAATATAAATATCAGGGCTTCGAGTGCCAGAGTTTCCACTGAAAAAAGAAGGCATCGAGCGTTCCTCAATCGGGTGGACTTTTGTCCATGAAAACCAACCTGAAAACAAAGACCAAATCAATAATCAATGAACTAGTGGATATCTCTTTACTAATGAAAGAAAGCCTTGGATTAAGCTTGTTCTAGGGGCTAGAAAGGTAGAAAGGAAATTTTTGTCAAGAAGAAGAATTAAGCTTATTGCATGGCTGGTTATTCTGAGTCAAATCAATCTCAATACATATTTTAGATAATTAAGAAGCTTTAAGAAACAAACCATGAACAAGAAATAGAAAGGCAAAAAAAGGGAAACAAAAAATACTGGTTGAGACTCCCTCTCGATGCCCATGAAAAACATCTGTCTACGTACTTGTCCAATCCAAGATAACAGGCATCATTCAAATAATTTCACATATCATAAGATTATCTACAGGGTAATTATATTCTCAATCTGAAACTCTCGACCTCTCGACCTCCGCACAAATAAATTAATGAAAACTAATGGACCATTAAAGAAGAGTTGTACTGCAGTGCAGCTCTAATTTTACGCTACCACCGATGCAAAAATGACTAATTCACGACCAATAAATTTACAAGGTTGAAAGCTTACATCTAGAGGTTCATGCAAAAATGCATTGGAGGCCTAAACCCAATACGCCTTTGAGTTTCAAAATAAAATCACAGATTAAAAAATTTAATAACCTGAATTTTCTCCTCTTTTTGACAGAGTTTTTTTCTACGAAATGAGAACTGGAACAAAGCCAACACAAATGAGCTAGAAGTTAAGAAAGGGGCCTAATTTCCAGTTGTTCAAACCATCCTTCTTCACAATTGATTCGGATAATAAGAACTTTCAGAGAGCTTAAATTTTTCTCATGTTCTTGCATTCAATCACAGTTTCAGAAAGGCAGAAGGAGCTCAAGATGTAACTATTATTTCTTCCACCACGTTCTTATATATACCTTTCTTTAAACTACCCTCGATTTGCTAATAAATGTTTACAAAATTAAAGTGAAAAAATGTGCACTGAACTTGATTGAAACAGATACACGAAGCCTAATGTAGAGTTAGATATGCATTACTGAGATATGAATTCCTAATCACAACAAAGAAAAGTGGGGAGCTCTCCTTCATCAAGCCCCTCAAAATTTTCTCCTATTACTCCATTTTCTCAACAGGAAAGTCATCTCCATAAGCCTCTAAAATAATTGGCACAAACCAGGATTTTGCATGTGTGTAAACCAAACTCACCGCAATGATTCGGAACGACGTGAGCATTCATACCCCGAGATTTAATAGATTCGAAATCAGCTACGAAAGACGCTTCCAAATTCGCCAATCTACTCGCCTTGTTCAATTCCTCCGCCGCGGCGACCAGTGTGTCTCCACGCTGAACTTCGGAATGAAGAAAAGATCCCTCCACCTTAACTGATCCCGCGGCGGAGATACCTTCAGCCGCATTACCCGATGCTGTTCCAGCGCCATTGTTAGGGCCAAGTCGAGCTCTAGTGAAGGGACCGTTGTGATTTGGAGGATGCAAAAGAGCAAATTTGTCCCGAGTAACGCGTTTCGAAGGAGCGGATGAGGAGTTAGAGCCACCGAGAGCGCTGACCTTTCGCTTCTGAGCTCCAGCTCGACGGCGAGACGAAGGCGGCTCCGATGAAGGCGAATCCGTGGTGTTCGCCGGTAAATTTCCGGCGTCTCGGCGCTTCTCCTCCATTTCAGTACTTGCTTGGAGGTTCCTGGATTCAGTGGTAGATGATGATGGCAGTGTTTGCTTTTGAGAACTCCATTGTTGCTGATTATACTGTTATTGGATGACCCAGAATTCATGCTCCCATGATGCATTTAACTTGAGAATTCCAACTTTTAGCTTCCAAAAAAGGGAAAATGAAATCCAATTTTTACAAAACCTTATTACTTTTCTTTAAACATTTTTTCATTTTGCTTTTGTTTTCTCTATAAATAATCTTCCTACATGAGGTGTTACAAGAAACGTCCCATAGATTATAATCTACTCTATTGTTTTACTGGTTTGTTACCATAAATCAACTATAATTTCTTGGTTTGTTACCAAATTTATGATTTCTGGTTCATTACCAAATCTATGATTTCATGTTTGTTACAATGTATTCCTCATTATACACTCCATAAATACACGAGGTCGTAATCCATATAGGTCTCAGTGCCATTCTTCGTATAAATATATGAGGTCGTGTCCCATATAGGTTACAGTGTCATTCTTCGTATAAATACATGAGGTCGTGAGCCATATAGGTCACAGTGTCATTTTTCGAACGTTTCCTTGTGTGTCACCTAGTTCTCCAAGATGCTGTTGTTCACATGCTTCTTAGAAAAAAAAATTGGAGGTCATCCAACATAAGTTTGCTGCAATAAGTAAGTTTAAAGTTTTAATGATTGAGTCACTAAAATGAATGCACATTTTGTTTGTATAGATAGTAACTTTCAACTCTTTTTAAACTTTTCTTAATCATCGTACTTTTAGTATCGTTTTCGTTCGAATATGGTCTCGATTCATTCATACTTCTCCTTTAATCGAGTGACACATATTTCTTTCCTTATCGGTCCATTTCCTCATCCAAAATTTATCAAAATTTAAACGCAAGTTAATTATCAACTAGTATTGTTTAAACGTTAAGCACTAAAAAGGAGTGTAGTTGAAAAATATTGGTGAAAAGACTAAATTAAAATATTTAAATGATCGAGACTAAAATGATATATTCAGATTAAAAAGAAAAGAAAAATCACCCGGTTCTAAAGTCTTGAAGAACTTAAGTGAGTGAGGCATAAGTGTTAGATGCATCAGCTAAAATAAGGACATGATCTCCATTTGTCAATTGGACAATATAGGTTATGCAACAAATATTAGAAAAGAGCTCGTGGAAGATCGTAAAGGATGCTATGTAGTAGAACGTGACACAAAATCTGAAACCTCATACACCACTTTAAAGTGTATAAACATGGTTGCTATTGTTAAGAGTTCTTCCAGATCAAGTCTATGACACAATAGATTTGGACATATGAACCTTAAAAGAAGGAAGATGTTTGCTGCGAAAGAAGTTTTAGAAAGTTTGAAATCTGATGATATGGATTTTTGTGAGAGTTGCATTATGGGCAAGTAGAAACGAGTTAGCTTCATAAAGGTTATTAGAGCACCAAACAAAGTACGGTTTGAAATGATCCATACAGACATTTAGGGATCATCTTCAGTTCTATCATTTGGTGGATTTAAGTTCTATGTCACCTTCATGCTTTCCGCATAAAGGTATGAGTTTATTTTATGAAACACAAAGTCAGATGTGTTTGCCATCTTCAAGAAGTGGAAAGTTGAAGACGTACTATTGCATTTTTCTGTTACTCTACATACTTGAAGCTAGCATTTTCTTTCTCCTGTTGTTTTGGTTCATCTAAATTGAGTATGTGAGTTGCTGTGCAATCATAAGAGTCTTAAAATTCCTAGGGCATGCTGGTTTTTATAGGCGTAGACTCTTGAATAGTACCGAAGTGATTGTGTGAGTTATCGGAGAAGGAATGCAAGTCCATTTTAAGGTCAAAGTATTTACTAATCACGCGATGATTAAGGATGCCAAAAATCTCGACTAATTAGATGAATTTTCTTGCTACAAGAGTTTGATATAGAGGTGAATGATCGTGTAAAGGCATAGAAAATCATATGTTGCATTTCAATAATGCGAAGTGTAACCAATGTGCCAAGCTGCCAAGCAAGTTACGAAATTGCTAACTCTAACACTCTGATAGAACCTATCTTGTGTTGGATCGGTATGGCAACTAGAGGGGTGAATAGGATTTCAATGTATTTAACATTAATTTTTCTAATTATGAAACTTTTTACCAATGAGTAGAAGATGATAATTACTAGAACAAAACAGTTAAGTCAAAACAATAATCAACTAGAACATACAATAAATTACAATAATAATTTTGAAATTAAATAGGAAAGTGTTAGAAAATAGAAAATCTTAGTTTTATAGTGGTTCGGTCAAACTCGACCTATTCCACTCATCAAGGGCCTCTTGGGAATTTGAATAAGAACTTTCTCAACTCTTTCGACGGATCAGAGCCCAACTACTACACCGCTCATTTTACGAGTTTAAGAGCAAACTCAATCATTTCCATGACGCAAAATCAAACAAGTATTTGAATTTGATAGGAACATTCCACAACTCTCTAAAATAGTGATTTACAATTTGGAGCATTCACAACTAAAAAAACAAAACTGGAAGCTTGTAAAGAACAATAATGGAGACTTTAGAAAATGGAAGAGGAAGAATTATGGAAGTTGTGTATTGAAAATGTGGAGAGTAGATGAGTTTAAATAGAGAAAAAAATTAGCAAAATGTGAAATTAATATTGACCATTGGATTGTATTAAAAGAGAAAGGGAGGATGGAGATTAAAAGTAAATAATAAAAAAAATTTCTAAATTTATTTTTATTATTTTTTTAAAAAAATAATAAAAGTTACTCACAAATGATTCAAATTTTATTATAAATATAATAATATAATAATAATAAAAAATAACAAGAATAACGGTTAAATTAAAATTTTAAAATTTATTATAAATATAATAATATAATAATAATAAAAATTATGTGAGTAACCACCAAAATTTTAAAATAAAATTATATAATATAGTAATAATAAAAATTATTTGGGTAAGATTAGATTCAAATTTATATTTTTATAATTTTGAAATATAATAGGAAGAAAAAACTCCACAATTATAAGTGTCATATTTTGATTGGTCATCATTTTGATTTAACTGTCACATCATCACGTCGGGTATGTTGTCTCGACTTCGTAATTTATTCGTTTTAGTTTTGATTTTAGTGATTGAAAAGTCGTTGAAATCGTCATTCCCAACCTTATACTGTGACCGTTCAAAATACTGAAAATTGTTAATAATTAAAAGTAGGCTTGTTATCATCAAAACATCAATAATTAATGGATTAAAATTAATTAAAATGAGATTAAAGGCCAAAAAGCTAACATCTTGAACTATTAAGAGCCGGAAATGGTGTAGAAATAGGGAGATTGTTAGTACCATCGGAGGAGTTTTCAGCTAGCACTCAGTAATAGACACATATAGGGTTTTGAGAGACTAAGGTTATCTATAGAGAGTGACGGACTTGTCCATACATGTTAAACTCACCTTTGAACCCACGATAGATGAGGGCACCTCGACTTATATGCAGGAAGTGTAATGATTAGATGGACCTTAGAGAGAAGGAATGAGAGATTAAATGCACCTAGAACCCTCGAGAAAATCTTATGGGTGACTTGCACCCCTAAAATAGAAGTGTGTTGAGTACATGAACTCAAGAGTCTAATAGGGCTAAAATGACTCGAGTCATAAAATGAGTCTAATAGGGTTAAAATGACTCGAGTCATAAAATTGGCTAACTCTCGAACCCTGATAGAACACGTAGCCTAAGAAAACACTTAATAGAAGAAGGTTTGACGAGAGTTTATATGTAGGTTGGTTAATGAATAATTTTACACTCGGTCTTACTATATCTTAAATCGAAATAGATCATTCTTAAACATAAGTTATTTATTTATTTTACAAATCACATCACATCAACACAACACAACACAAAGTAAATTACAAACCACAACACAAAGTAAATTACAAACCACAAGTAGTTGGATCATAGCTTAAGGTTTCTTAAAGGCTCCATTGTTTTCTTGCATCATAATCTTTCCACGCCCACGGTTGTTTTTGACATAACACTAGGCTCGTGTGATCTGTATGTCATCTTCATCGTGGTGACAATCAGTGGAAGAAGCTTTTGAGTTGAGATCGTGGGGATAAACTGTCGTACTTGGTTGTGGCTTTACATCGTTGGTATAAAGTTCATCCTTGTTCTCACTTGGGTAAGACGAGACATTTGGTCGTGGTTCAATATCTTTAGCGAAAAGTTCGGCATTCCCATTATCTGGGTAGAACAATAAACTTGGACGTGGTTGAATATCTTCGTCAAAAAGTATGCCTTTGACATGCCCATTTGGATAAAACGTTGCACTTGGTCGTGGCTCAATATCTTTGTCAAAAAGTATGACTTTGACATTCTCATTTGGGTAAAACGTTGCACTTGGTCGTGGCTCAATATCCTTAGAAAATGATTTCTTTTCAACATCGTTTGGATAAAATGAAATACTTGGCCTCGGTTCTATATCCTTTACAAAAAGTTTTTCATTTAGGAGCTGTTTATCTTCAATGCTATCTTCTTTCACTTTTGCTGCTTCTGGTAATGCCTTGTCTTCAATCACATTACTCCAACGTACTCCCGGTTCATGCCTTGATTCTATGTTATCGACTAGCTAAACAATTACCATAATAAGAAATGACGAAAAAGAAAGAGATCAAATACGGTTTAATAAATTATAATAAGAAATTTCTCGAAAACACACGAACAAATTATAAGTTCGAAAATGTTGCAAAGAAAATAAAAGGAATTTCATACCAAGAGAAGCAAAACGAGAGTGAATGGACTCATCTTCATATCTTTTCAGCTCTTTCCTTTAAGTTACGTATTGCCTCAAAACCCATGTTTATTTATAGGATAAATTTTCAAAAAGCAATCCAATCACTTTTATTTTCTTTTCGGTTTGGAGTCTTTTGTTATACATTTGAGGATTTATCGATCTATTAACGCAACTAAGTTTTTGACATTTGAGAATTTACCAATCTGTTGGCATGACACGACTAAGTTTATGGCTCTGATATCATTTTAGACGAACAAGACTCTCCACAATGGTTTGATATTGTTCTCTTTGAGCATAAACTCTCATGACTTTGCTTTGATCTTATCCAAAAGGCCTCGTACCAATGGAGGTAGTATTCCTCTAAATTAGCTAATACGACACTATCATCATCCAATGGTTATTATTTTTTTAAAATTTTATTTTAACCACCACTTTTTTTTTTTAAATTTTAAAATCTTTAATAGTATATTTGGTGTAGACATGACTTTGATGACAGGTCATACACCCCATATTGACCCAATAATAATAATAAAAACCTATCTAACAGGAAAGCAAGTAAAAAAAAGTTTAGAATGAACATGTAGCCATAAACAACATGTCCTACACCAATATGATCGAGACATCCGACATGAAGCCACATACAACATGCCTTAGACATCCTAAAAGAAGAATGACCAATATTTGAATAATAAAAAGGCAATATTTTTTTTTTATTTGATGGATATTGTCCGCTAAATAATGGAGAGCATATGAATTCATTTGCAAATAATTGAAGCAATGAAAAACATGATATTTTTTATCATAAAATAAAGATAAGATATGATCAACTGCTCCCAAGTTGAAAAGGGTTTCTATAAACTCCAACAAACATTGATTCTCCAAATCTACTTTATTCCTAATTTATAGTTTATGACTAGTAAAAACTTATACTGTTATGTGAATCGAGAATATGATATATCAAAAAATCTGCCGTTCCTAATGGAATAGGTAACAAAGCAACTTTGCCACCCACTGTGATTAAATCACCATCCCCCAAGTTAAACTGGTGCCTGTTACTGCACCGGGGGCCGTTATACTAAGTGCTAAAGCATGAGTGTTTTGTATCTATTGAGCAAAGATGGGTTGTAATTGAATAGCGGTATCGGAAAACATATCTTGGGGATGCCCGAATAGAAAACCCCTATTAAATAAACTAAAAAGAGCAAATTATTTCTTCGGCGAAATTTGGCAGGCTAAATTATATAAAATACCTCTAAATAATGGGTATGGTTTCAAAAATACCCTTGAATTTTAATTGTTTTATTTATAAAACACTCTTGTAATGACTCGATTTTCTAAAACCCTAAAATATGCGGGAAAAGAGTCGAACTTCATATCAATTTTCTTCTCAAAATCTGGGACGATACCCAATTTTTGAACTTTTGAAATTCAGACTTTGACTAAAAAGACGATATAATAACAAACAAATGAAGGCCGAAGTATGGCAAAATTTTGAGCAATTTAAAGGCATACAACACCATCGTGGAAATCCAAAACCCAAAACGGAAATTTTACAAGATAGGTGCTCTTCAAGTTATTTACAAACGGCGAATGGGAGTGGGATACAAATGAATACAAATGACAACGCACAAATTATAAATTAAATTGACAGCCTGGGTTGACACCCCTCTATGATAGCATAGCTCTCGAACACTCACTACCTCAAGTTCTCACCCAAAGTGTTTTGGTAGAGGATACAAAAATACTACAAATGACAACCCTAAAAGAAATACAAATTAACGCATCATGTCAACACCTTTAGCTAACAGCGTAGCTCCCGAGCATCTCCCCACCTCAACAGTATCTGAAAAAGAAAAGGGGAAAGAGACGGGTACGCGAACAACTACTTGTAGGCTCTTATCGTATCCAATTCTTAGTAGGTTTCTACGGGGTTCCTTTTAAACTTCATAAAACTCGCTCCTATCCTCTATAGCAATCTAAGCTTCTTTTCTTTGTAGGTCTCAAAATTTCAAATTGTTCATAAAAACACCTTGTTGTCTTTTAATTCACACGCCCCATATGTGATGTGAGGGAGTTACAGACACATACTCAAGCATGACTTACTCACACATAGACGCATGGTATAACCACACTGTGTCCTAGGTGACACAATCGCACTTTTAAAGGCAGCGGACTAGCGATTATGCAGCACTCACTTTCCAACGACAAGTGAGCTAAGCCAATTTGTTCTTGCGTCACCTACGGCCAAGCGACGTATGATCGAGCCTCTAGCCTCGATTTTGAAAGAAGGTTTTAGAAAACGAGGGTAGAGAGAGATTTTAGAAAGAGAGATTTTTGAAAGAAACGTTATATAAGCAAGCAAGAGAGAGATAACAACGGCTTAGCATATATAACCTTGGGTAGGGAGAAGTTGACAACTAGTCATATCCCCCTATAGTACATTCTGAGGCATTTCATGTCTGGCAGGCCTAGACATGATATTTTTGAGGCGTCATACGCCCTGGAACTACAAAAGTAAAAACACTAGAATGAAAAGACATGACAAGGGTTTGGCTTGCCATAGGCATGCGGCCATGGGCAACACGCCTTGGACGAACATGACCGTGACACTGTACAGATTGGATTGAGTTAATGAGTTTTTCGAAATTTCAAATTTTTTTTGAATATTTTGACACGTTTGGACCCTTTTATTGCTTAATTGTATTACGATTTTGGATCCAACATGAACATTATGTTGTCCATTGGTAGTTTAAGTTCGAAGATATTTGATTAGAAAAGCTAAGAAAAAGTTGGAAGTTAGAACCCATGTGGATATACAAATGTGTGATGAATTAAATTCAAATAAATAGGACAAAAAAAAACCAATAATTTACAAATCCAATAACATTTTGTTTTCAAATTTTATAATATTTGAATAATAAAAAGGTGATATGTTGGGAGATGTTGTCGGCTAATTATTCAATTTTTTTTAATATAAAATAAAAAAAAATATAATGTAATAACTCAAGCCCACCGCTAGCCGATATTGTTCATTTTTTACCCGTTACGAATCGCCGTCAGGCTCCTAAGCTTGGGTTGCTACAAATGTTATCAAAACCAATCACTGGACAGTGTGATGCATTGGTTAGAGTAGGGCTAGACCCTCTCCATAGTAGAGTTCATTCCACTTCGTTAATTGTTGAGAGAAATATTTGTATGCACAAACTGTAACGACCCAGCCCACCGCTTCTTTGGGTTTTCCCGACTCTTATAAAGGGTGATTTGTTCTCCTCCCCAATCAATGTGTGACATCACACAAACGGTCTAAAACTAAAATCTCATAGTTCTTGACCCTCGTCGTAACTCTTAACTTTTGACGTCCTCTCAAGAACAAAGTACTAAAATTTTGAATCAAGAATTTAATTCTCATTCGAGCTTGGTCTTACGAATGGACTATATCATCTATATCATCTTAACTTTTCTTACTTCTTTTAGTATATCTGGTTGGATGAACAAGTTTCTCTACAATAGTATAACATTGTGAGTATAAGCTCTCATAGCTTTGCTTTGTGCTTCTCCAAAAGACCTCATACAAATGTAGATAGTATTCTTTGATTATAAACTCATGATTATTCCCTAAATTAGCCGATGTGAGACTTTCATCCAACATATCTTACTTATAATACTTTACATATGTGGGCTATATTTTAATTTAAAACATTATAATTTGTATCGTTAAACTAAAATGACCTAATTGACTCTATTATTGCAGATAGGGAACGGGTGGACCTATTGAGAGGTCTGGTGCACGCCTTCAACAAAATTATTTTTCTTATTTTGGATTATAATTATACTAATTTTCTAAGTTCCAGATTCAAATTACTTTGTTAATCGAATATCTCAACACAAGAACAATACTTGATTGAGGTTCGAATCACTCCACAAATAAAATTAATTAGGTCAAATTTGAGTAATTCCACATGCAACCTAAACTACATCGAATTGCAAAGAAAATTAGCTATTGGCTAAAGAAAAGCACAAACGCTCATTTTACTACATTTTCAAGTCTATTTTACAAAAATAACATACATGACTTTGTATAGCCTCAAAATAAAACTATTGACCTTAGATGAGACATTCCAAGAGTTTGTAACTTTCTTACTTCAGGACCATAATTAACCACTATGTATATTTTATGATTATAATTAGCACTCTATAAATGTAACTTTAAAGTAGATAAAAAGTCTTAAAATATATTAATGAAATACAATAAATCTAAATTATCATCTATTATAAATTTATAACCCGTCCCATTTGAAATATTTTAAAGTTTTTATTATAGAAATGGAGCTTAATTGACCTAATAAATACTAAATAATACTAAATACGGCAGGATTGAGATGTCTGAAATGTAATAAATCATTTGATTGGTAAAGGAGAGTTCAAACGGTTCATTCTTGAACACAAAATATTTATTTATTTCACAAATCACACTACATTCAACACACAAAGTAAATTACAAACCACAAGTAATTGGATCATAGCTTAAGCTTTCTTCAAAGCTCCATCATTTTTACTGTCATATATCATAAACTTCCTTCTCCCGTGGTTGTTATTGACATGACGTTAAGCTCGTGTGAGCTGTATGTCAGCTTCGTCGTGACAATCAGTAGAGGAAATTTTTGGGTTGAGATCGTGAGGATACGCGGTGATACTTGGGTATGACGTGAGACTTGGTCGTGGCTCAATATCTTTGTCAAAAAGTATAGTCTTGACATTGTCATTGGGGTAAAAAGTGGCACTTGGTCGTGGCTCGATATCTTTGTCAAAAACTAAGGTTTTAACGTTGTCATTTGAGTAAAATGTGGCACTTGGTCGTGGCTCAACGTCTTTAAAAAATGATTTCTTTTCGGCCTCTTTTGGATAAAAGGTAGCACTTGGTCTTGGTTCTATATCCTTGACAAACCGTTTTTCATTTTCAGGTTGCTTGTCTTCAACGCTATCTTCTTTTGCTTCCACGTTACTCCAGCGTTCTCCTGGTTCATGTCTTGACTCTATGTTGTTGACAAACTAATGACCATCATAACAAGAAAAAAACGAAAAGGAAAAGATTATTACACTTTATTAGATTCTTGTTACATAGTTTATTTTCAAAACTTTAGAAAATTCTCGTACGTTAAAGAACGAAGGCTTAAAAGACTCGAATAAAAAAACTTAAAATATCTTTAAGAACGCACCAACAAAAATTCAAATTCATACCATAAGAAGCAAAAGGAGAGTGATTCCAAAGATTGCACCCATCTTCATATCTCTAAGCTCTTTGCTTTTCTTGCATATTGCCTTCAAACCAATGTTTATTTATAGATACATTCTCAAAAAGATTCTCAAAAAGCAATCAAATCACTTTTCTTTTACTTTTCGAATTTAACAAAACTATGAAATCCACTCTATTTAGGCTAGCGTCCTTATTGGCACATCGTCTGATGTGTCTGACTCTAATATCATTTGTAACAGCCCAGATCCACCGTTAGCAGATAATATCCTTTTTCGACTTGCTTCCCTTCAAGGCTTTAAAATGCATCTGCTAGGAGAAAGTTTTTACACCTTTATAAATTGTGTTTTGTTTTCCTCCCAACCAATGTGGGACATCACATACATGCTAAGTTTAAAATCTTAAACTTGAAAATATTAATTCGGGTATTAAAGTAGCTTAAGTTGAAAAGGCTATGGATTAAATTTGCACACGTCTATGAATTAAAAGGTCGAAATGATCAACTCTATAACCAGTTATTAGAATTAATAGGTCTTCAAATCGTTCATTTGAAAAACTGTACCTCTTCTTATTGGATGATCATGATATTTCCCAAAATTCGTGATGAGTGGAGGAACAATGTTACCATTTTTGTTCAATAAGATACCAAAGTGGATGATTGATTTATTCCATACTAGAAATAATTGTAGGAAATCCTTTGGCAACATGAATTCTTGTTTCTCAATGCTATCCTGCGATCAAGACGGTAACAATCCTATTTTTCCTAATAAAATAAAGACGACACTACATGTATGGCGTTCCTAATATTGGAAAAAGTTTGTGAAAACATTTCATAAAGGAAGTCATAGAGTTCTGTTATAAAAAAAAAAAAAAAAAAAAAAAAAAAAAACATAGCGGTAACATCTTGATCTTACCTAAGAGCTACTTAACTTCCATTACCTTCTCAGTGATGTCGTCATTTGTACATGGGTGCCTAACCTTTACCTCTAAAAAAAATTGCACGTGGATTAAGTATTAAAAAATACTCATTAAGTAGCCCCCATTATGGGAGTCAAGAAATGCAAACACATGCAATCATATGGGGCCTATCCTTTCATTATCATCGTGGCCTTGGTCTCACTTTCCAATCCAGACCGGTTTGGATGTGCAATACTTCTCTATACGTGGCCCACGCACACATACATAGACCCTAAGGCAGACTCGTATATGCAACCCCTAGACCTGACCTTCAACTAGCACACACTCATGCTACTAAAAAAGTCATAGAAGGAAAGGAGCGTGCATGATATCATGGTGTACATAACAGTGTAATGTACACGTCTATACTAATCATAACGAACAAATATCTCAATGCACGTAACATACAAAATGCATGAAGTCCTCATGGCTTTCAATCATGACATATACATATAATGCAAGTCGTACCTCTATTATTTCATAATATAACTTCCGTGAATAATATATGTGGCTTAACATTATTTCATAAACCTAAAGGGAACATGATATCGTAGTGTGCATAACATAACATGTAGAGGTATCATGCATCGTATAACATTAAAGCCATAACAAAATACATAACATAACACAAACGTCCCATGATATAACATAATATAACTTATGTCATTGCATAATATAATATAATACACGTTAAACAGTCACAAAGTATGACGTGTAGAGTCACAAAGCACGCACCATTCATACTTCATATAATTCATCCAAGTCACTTACCTTGTTGGTCTAACCGAAGTCACTGCACTCCCTTAACTTAAAAATGCTCATTGAAATCTAATTCTACCTAATTCTCACCCTCATGATTTAGAATTTACTCTCGAAATTGGCTCATTTAATTTGCATAAGATAATATAATCTTAGTTTCAAATAATTTAAATTAACTAAAAAGTTAAACGTTTTGCTTTATGAAGAGTAAAAAATGGTAGGAAAGAGTTCGAGCATATCAGATGGATCAACCGCATAGCCAAAGTCGTCGTAAAATGCATTCTCTAACTAACTTCAAACCGTACAAGTGGGGATGAAAGGAAACAATTGTTGCTACTCAATAAGCCAATTCACTTTCTTAATCTAATGGACGTGGGATAACTTTTAAGACAATTGACTAAATTACGTGAAACTATTTCATAGAGATCCAATTACACTTTTATTTTCTAAAACGGGGAGAGGTTGCCACACCTTGTATGAAATGTTTTGTTCCCCTCTCCAACGGAGGTAAGATCTCACACTCATTCAGACATGATCTCGCTTCATTTATTTACTCCTCTTTTATTCAAACGTCAAAATTCTAAATCTTGATTTAAATCTTAGGAATTTGGCGTATTTGATATGAGATCTCCTTTATATTATTTGACACGTCACCTCCCATGTTTTTTCTTTAAAAGAAACCAATTATACTCACAATAATTCAACTAACATTTAATATAATTTTAAAATATGAATTTCCACTCCCACATAAAAAAAACATTAAATTTCTAAGATTCTAACAAATGACACCAACGTTGTTTTTAATTTAAAATTCAAAATTTATGATCATTAGTTCCATATTGGCTAATTAAGGAGGAGATCGAGAATATAAGTAAGAGACACTATCATCATTAGTTTGAGCTTTTTAGAAAAAACTAAAAGTAAAGCCACGAACACTTAAACTTAAAGTGGACAATATCATATGAATATGGAAGTTCGTTGTTCCTATCATCTCTACTCGTTTGGTGAATGACGAGTCCTTGAAGAAATAATGTAATCTTAAAACAATAAAAAACAATTTATAAACAAAAAAAATCTCAAAAGATTTAAATTATTTTTAATTAAAGCAAAGTTTATGTAGTACCTAAAAGAAATATTTGAATGATAAAAAGGCAATATTTTGTGGTGGATATTGTCCTAAATAATTCAATCAACTCGTTGAGATGATATGATCACCTGCTCCAACGTTGATAAAGGTTCCACAAAATCTCAAACATTCATAGATTGTGTAAATCTAGTTTATTGATTATTTATTTGTAATAACCTAAAGTTTTGAAAAAAAAAAAAAAAAAATCCGGAGGTTGGCCTCTACTATAAAAGGGAGGTCCCTCACTTCATTTTAGCACCCCACTTGAACGGTTGGAAATCAGCCCTTTCCTCCTAATTTTAACTCCTTGGAAGCGTTTAAAGTTAGTACGGTTACCTTTTAGTTAGTTTAAATTATTAGGTGGGTTGATTTCCATATTAGAATTCTAATTTATGATCTTAGACTCATGCATAATTAAATTTGAGAGAACAACGTTAAGCTAGGATCATCAAGGGGTCGTAGTAGCTTCAGCTTAAGTCAATCAAGTAAATGACCTTACTTTCGGTTTGGTTAAAAGTTGATGTTGTATGATGATACATGTCCAGTGAATTCTACACATGTCATATGTTAAACGTGTGTGAAATAATTATGAAACGATATGACTATGATGTGTTGTGTAAATGTTATGTTATGATATGTGAATGATATGATAACTGCTATGATACGATGCATTTAGTGATATATTTGAGATATGATACAAGCAGGATAAGATATATGTTATGAAACGCTATGACTATGATATGTTAGGATATATATTATGACATGATATGTTTGATGATACGACGTATACGGTGATATGCTTTATGACATGATACGTGCATGGTATGACATGATATGCTTATGATATGATACATGTGACATGTTAAGATATATGGTATGGATGGCATGCAACAAGACGTTTTTGGCATGAGATACAACCTCGATACACGCATGGAAGATATGATTAAAATGTTATGATATGAACGAAGATGCTAGGGAAGTTGTAGTACATAATAATGAAAATTGAAAAATATTGGGACCTCATGCATTATTGTGTGTTCATGCATCGGGGGATACCTCTTCTCCTTTTATAATAGTACAGAGCGTACATTATGAGGCAGAGAAACGGTCATTATGTTTACTATAATGCTGCTATGATGGCCGTTATTCCTAACGGGTATTCGGCATCAACAACTACTAGAGAATGCTCGCCCGACCAGAAAAAGGCCCAACGACTCGTGGGTCCATACTCACACATGTGGATCATGTACTACTTCTATTTTAGGTAAAGGTAGGTCATCCCTATATGGCCGACAACATCGCAACTCGAGACCATGGCACATGCATAGGTTCAATTTATTTTCTTAGACTTAGGTTAGAATAGGGTGATTTTAATTTAAATGTTTATTTATTTCATTTAGTATCTTGTTGTGTCATTTTAAGGATGTTTTCGAACACTTAAGTCCATGACAGTGTTTTAAGATGAAGTTATCTTTATGAAGAAGTTCAAACGTTTATTTTCAAAAAGAAATAATTACATTATATTGACAGTAGCGACTCTTTATAAGTAGAAATCTAGGGTCATTACATTATTAAAGATGATTAAGTAGAAAAACAAAAAACAAAATCACGAACTTTATCGTTAACTATTTCTTTATTCATTTAGCGAAAGATGGCCCATAAACATTAAGATTAATTACTACCTAAAAGAAGAATGACAAGACTCATAATATTTTAATAATAAAAAGACAATATTTTTTAGCTCGATCCGGAAAATAATCCAATAATAGTCATTTGCAAATAATTGAAGCTCGAAATTGATAGATCTTTAAGAAAAACATGGATTTATGATACAATATGATATGATCAACTGCTACAACCAAGAAATATTGATTGTGTAAATCTACTTTATCGATAATTTATAGCTTATGAATAGTACTGAGTTATCCTAGTTTGTTGTGGATGAACATAGACAAAATATTTATGGTCATTTCACTATAATTTTTTAATTAATTGGTTAAATTATAGAAAATACTTCTAAATTATGATCGAAAAATCAAAACTTTGAGGCTTTCTCAGAAGTTTAGATAACTATTGAACCTAGGACCGAACTTCCTAAATCTAAAGAAAAGTTCGTGGTAATTTATTAGTACAAGGATGCGATGAGAGCCGACAAGTAAATTACTTACTGAGTATGTTTATAATCACAAGGTTCTACTTTTCTTTTTCAAGTGATCATTAATGCCTAGTCGAGATGGGGAAACGTTTGGCAGCTGCGCAGTAACAAAATAGGATCGTCCCAAGGTATCAGTCTCATATTAAATCATGATCTATATGTTGTTATGTATGAATTGCAATAGCATGATATGTGAGTTTCTAATTCTACACTGTGTTATGATCATAGTATCTATTTTTTGTTTAACTACTATCTCTTCATGTCATCAAGTTACTATGATGGGACAAAAAGAGAGTCGCCAAATAACTTACTATGACCCAATTTTTAAGTTCGAATTTCGACATGAATTGACACAAACTTATTATAAAAATACGATAAAATTTTTTGCTTATAAAAACAACTATACAAGGAGACACGAAAATATAAACATATATACATACGTACAAAATCGAGAGACAAAGTATAAAAGATAAGACCGTGATAAAATAAAACTAAAAAATTGGAGGAGACTTAGATCTAGACTATCTCTATGGTCAACCTACTTTAGACTATTCGAGACCTCGACCAACTATTAGTTATTACTTGAAAACCAGTAAACAACTAGAGTGAGAATAAGAAATAGTTGGTAAGTAGTATATTTGTTAGCTCTCGACCATATCCAAGTGTCTAGTTAAGTTAAGGTGCCACATTTATTAACTTAGATTTTTTTTTTTTTTTTTCATTCATATTCATAAGTTCATGAAAGATTCATTTTCGTGATCATGTATGCTCAGTTCTTGAACCACATATGCCTCTGGTCCTATTTAGCCTTACGGTTTACGAAGCATGAGTCCGATATGGAGGCTCATGTCTATTTATATGCCTCAAATACATGAATCAAGCGTTGTCCTATGTGGTCCCTCACCCTACTCAAGGTGGGTTAGCATGAACCTTATCTAGAAGCCTATGTCCATTTTCACACTCGATACTTAGTCACGAATCCTAAATTTGAGACACTTCTCTAACTAGACCAATCTAGGTCACATGATCACTACAAAAGTGTGAAGCTACCCACTGAGACAGTAGAATTATATGTGCCATCTCACAAATTAAGGCAAAACAACTTACGTATCTAGGTGAGAAATATTGAGATCAGGGTTAACCAAAAGGTAGGGCGATATAGGGTGACTTTGTGCATGGCTAAGGTGCCATGTATTATAGGCTTGACTTGGTACGAGATATAGGCTTGATTTGAATCCGTTAGAGTGTTAGAGTGTCATGCAATTGGTGTGGAACCATTAGAGTGTTAGAGTGTCATAGCTATATACTAGAAACCGTTGGCTATAAACAAGGTACGAGATATAGGCTTGACTTGGTCCATCTCGTGAGGTCGTACATAGCTAATAGGGTGCCATGTTAGGCTCGTAGGGTGCCATGTTAAAATCTCAAACAAGCGTTATTATCTTAAAATATTCGATCAATAAAGTAATCTGAATCTTGATCTCACAAGTGATTCCTTATCAAAATAGAAGTAAATAAAAGATTGTAAGAAGATTCGAGAATGCAAAAATATTTTACTCTACCATTTCTCGTCCCTTAATAGCAAACCTCGTCATTCACTTAGGATATCCTTGCCTTCACCAACAAAAGAAAAAGGTTTTAAAAACGACAAGTATTGAAAAACATCTAGTAAATGATTTCATTGTTGGATTCAGAATATGTCAAAACATGCAACATGACTGAGACTACCTTTTCTCTAATGGAATTTAAAATCTTTCAACTTTAAGTGTTATCTTTCTTCTAAATGTGCACCAATTTCATACACGTCAATGTACGCCATCTAGAGTTGTGTATGTCTTTCACGCACTTCAAATATACCTTCGTCACTTTCACGTGCATCAAGCTCTCTAGATATTCATCACTCTCGTGCCTTATCATGGGTATATTATTTTCATGTACATCAATAGTGGAAGAATAAGCTTTTTCTTCCCATAGTTCTTTCAACTACTCTTGCCCATAACCATTTCAATAAAATATAGACAAATTTAATTATAATTTTGTTTAAAATGTGGAAAAATTCAACTATGTTCATAACATTATTTAAAAAAATGAAGATATTATCCACAAATAATGGCACTATATCTAAAAAGCAGATTCTTTCGAGATATGATTCCCATAAATTATCATTCATCAGCAATTTGGAAGCATTATACTCAGATCCAACGTGCCATAAATGACAATAACAGGATCAACTACTTCCACTATAAGAAGTTTATTCCACATCCCATTTTATGCACCGAGTAGAGGTTGAAGATAACTCGAGGAAAAAAGATGGGTGGCAGCACAATGACTTCTTGCTTCCTCTTGCTACCTCTTCTATTGCTTGTTATGGTGAAGTTTTACAAAGAAAAAACAAGCTACTAATTCAAAATTTAGTGTTGTAACTTGTTCATGTGAGAATCTCGAGTCATGGGTCTCGTAGGGTTTTGGTTGAGTTGATGAGATGAGGCGTCGAGTTGACCTGCAAGGAAGATACTTGTGTCGATGTGGTGCTATGCTCAACACTCTTTGATCATTGAGTAGTAATACCAATTGTGTAACAGTTCAAGCCCATCGGTAGTGGATACTGTCCTCTTTGGGCTTTTCCTTTCGGGTTTTCCCTCAAAGTTTTTAAACACGTCTACTAGGGAGAGGTTTCCACACTCTTAGTATTTCGTTTGACTTCCAAACCGGTGTGGGATCTCACAATCCACCCCCTTCAGGGTCCAGCGTCCTCATTGGCACTTGTTCCCTTCTCCAATAGATGTGGGACCTCCCACCATATCCACCTCCTTTGGGGCTCAGCCTCCTCCCTGACACATCGACCATGTGAGATCCTATATCGGTTGCGGAGGAGAAGAAACATTCTTTATAAGAGTTTGAAAACCTCTTCCTAGTAGACGTGTTTTAAAGCCTTGAGGGAAAGCCCAAATCTGCCAACAGTGAACTTGAGTTGTTATAAATTGGGTTGAACATAGAACTTATCTCGTTCCCATCAAATGCACTAAATGTTTATGTCGTCTTCCTTGCATGTCAACCTGACTCAATGACTCGACCAAGAGTCTACATGAACATAACTCAATGCTAACTAACATCACATGAGACTCATTATATCTTCATGTCTAGATTTTGAAGTTCCTAATTACTTGTTGCATATATTGCAGTTTGGTGAAGCAAGGCAAGCCTTTAGTGAAATTGAAGAGAAGAACAAGCAAATTGAGTTGAATGATCATATAGAAGCAACATTTAAACCAAAACCCATCATAAAAATGGTGACCAAAATGGCTAATGATCACAATTCCCATGATACTCATTCTTCTTCATCTCATATGGATCACATAAACCCTTTACTCAGAGTTTTCTTCACCATAAATGACCTAAAACAAGGCAAAAAACTCCCAATTTACTTCCCTAAAAGAGACCCATCAAAATCCCCACCATTATTACCCAAAGAACAAGCTGATCCAATCCCTTTCTCCCTCAAAAAACTCCCTCAAATCCTCTCCTATTTCTCCTACCCTTCAAACTCCCCTCAAGCCCAAGCCGTTAAAGAAACCCTTGAACAATGCGAACTCAAACCCATCAAAGGAGAGACCAAATTTTGCGCCACTTCCATGGAATCAATGGTCAATTTTGTAAGAACAGCCTTTGGCCCAAAAACCCATTATGAAGTTCTTACCACTTCACATCTCACAAAATCCAATGTCCATTTACAAAACTACACGTTCATTGAAGCCCCTAAGGAAATTGCAGCGCCCAGGCTCGTGGCTTGCCATACGATGCCGTATGCATATGCGGTTTATTACTGTCATTACCAAGAAGGTGACAATAATGTGTTGAAGATTCAATTGGAAGGTGAAAATGGAGATAGAGTTGAGGCTTTGGCCATTTGCCATATGGATACTTCGCAATGGAGCCCTAGCCATCCGTCGTTTCAAGTGCTCAAAATCCAACCGGGGACTATCCCCGTTTGCCATTTCTTCCCGGCCGATGATTTTGTGTGGATTCCGGTGCCTACTTCAAACTCTAAATTATATTAAGTGATGATAATTGGGAAGAGTTTGTTGAACTCAAATAAAAAAAAAAAAAAAAAAGTTTGATTGTACGTGTTCAATTAGTGGTTGAAGTAAGTATTAGTGTGTTTATACGTAGATGAGTAAGTTTGAATTTCGTATCTTCCACTATGCAATGTAATAAAAGTTTAAATTTTGTTATATCTTAGTTTAAACGTCTTTTTAGTGTTTGAATTAGGGTGTACATAGTCCAGGTTGGGTTGGGTCGAAAGATTTTTTTGACCCAACCCAACCCAATCCTCTTTTTCAGGTTGGTTCGGGTTGGTCCAAAATTTGTTTTTAATTTGTATGACCTAAAATGATAAAACAATTATTATCTATAAGTTGTAGATCAAAAGTATCAAACTCTATTGTATTCATATTATCACCTATAAATATGTAAAGAATATACAATGAATCAATTCCAAAGTTATCACATCTAATTAAATTATCTACGTTCTCAATATATAATCATTCAACAAAATGCCTAAAAATTCACCTATAAATATGTAAAGAATATTCAATGAATTAATTACAAAGTTACAACATTCAACAAAATGCCTAGAAATTTAAAACTATCCAACCCTCTATTGCATTTTTTGCAAAAAAAAAAAAAAAATAGTATTTTGATAATTAATACCGTTTTAAAATTGTTTGAAGAAAATATACTGTAATTTCAAATATTTTACTTACATTCTTACATGACATTGGTGGAGCTTGAGGGTCTTAAATCATCTGAAAAAATAAAATATAAATTGTGATATAACAATATAGAATACATCTTAACAAATAGACAATAAATAGATTGGGAGTTACCTGTTTCAATCTTAGAACAAATCTCCAAATCATCAACTTGTTGAGGAATATCTAACGATACTGATTTTCTACCGATCCAATTTTGTGTACATATCAAAGCTTCCACTCTTTTAGGTGTTAAAGAACTCCTAAAAGAATCAAGAATCCTCCCCCGAAAAGATAAGTCACACTGAACGACCAAAACATCTTGGGCAATTTTCGACAAAATTCTATATTTAAACTCATTTGCTTTCCACCATGCCAAAACATCAAAATTATCATAAGTTCTTCACTAGGGTCAGATAAATATCAATCTACATCATTATTTAACTCGAGTGAATTTTGCTCCTCTTTTTCGTTTGTATCTTGATAATACTAATATTGAACCACTCAAATTCACTTCATCAATTGTGTCCATCTCCATAATCATGACTTAGAAGTGAGTCTTGATTTAGATTGATGATAATCTTAAGCATTATCATGAAATTTGTAGTAATCATACAAATGAATTAAATAATTCTTTATGTCATTCACAACACTTTAGCCCTAACATCATAAATATTCAAGAAGCAAAATGATATGTAATTCAATTTGTAATGAGGATCGAGTATCACTGCTATGAATATCAACTTATTAATTCTTTCCACTAAGCCCCAATATTTGTCAAACTTAACTTTCACATTTGTACTAATTAAAAGTTCTCGAATACCCCAAAGTTCATGAAAATAAGAATTAGAAGTCACATATAAAGAACCACTTAAGATAAGCTCAATCGAGCTCATGGGATATTAGGAGACCATAGCATATAATCTATGAAAGTTTATAGTCTAAGACACACGATAAAAGATTTCGTGACATGATTTATGAATGATTATAGCCCTACACATAAGACTACTTAGAAAAGGTAAATTATCATCATCAAATTTTATTTTAATGCTTTTATGGAATCTCTTTTTCTTTTGATTTTTTTCTTCTTTTTTTCTTGATTTTAGGAGCATTCTTTATGTTTGAAATCAGGGGGTACTTTAGGCATTTTTTTTTTCAATAGAAACACATTTGGCCATTTAACAATTGAAGAGACTTGGCTGCGAGTCAGAATCTGTAAAAGTCGAACTTACAGGAATAGTCTCATAAGTGCAAAAAGCTCACCACATCTAATTACAAATCTCCAAAACAACACACAAAAAAACAAATCGTCTGATTCACTTAAATATATAGCTTTTATAGTCAAAGACACTTCAATGAGTCTACTACAAAGGGTCACTAAAAAGAAAGATGTTAACCAACCATGGTGCGTTTTCGGCCTCGCTGACGCACTGTAAAATGAAAGTGAAAAGCAAGAGAAGTAAACTAAGAAATCATAGGGAATAAAACAGACAATGAATGATAAAAGATGGGATCACTACCTTGAGCTAATTTGTTCGAGGTTGACGACCACTGTTTCGAAGTCTTCCGGTATGAAGCAAGAATTTGTTCCATCTATAAAATATGTAAGAACCATCAATGTATATCAATTTGGGTATCAATTCACCCCAATTTGTCAACAACTAGTCATAAGATTGCATGAAAATCACTAAAACAAAAAACCAACAAGAGGGCCAACTAAATGACCGCCTAAAAAAAGAGCCACAAACCTAAGCCTGACATGTAATAACAAAAGACTTCGGAGACCGATGCCTCACGTGAGGCATCAAACCTACCTAGCAAGGGACTATCTATACCTCCTCCCAGACCTCCATTTTTCCGAAGGTTTTATTGTTTCTCTCAAGCCATCCCATAACACTGCAGAAACACTAGCACTCTAGAGGAACGGCCATATGCCTGAGGGGAGGGTGAAAGAAAAGCCTCTTCAACGTATGGCACAGTCCCGGTTACGGGCTAAACTACCCCCAACAGCCTCCAAAAACCAGCCCCAAATTGAGCAAGCAAACTAACAGAAGAAAATTGTGGGTCGTGTATGGTAATACAGCATTAGTAAACTGCAGCCCTCACGACTGAGTTAGACTAAGAAAGGGAACCACATTTTATAACTACGCTACGAATTCTACCCTGAGACAACAGTAGAGTTGCAAGAGGGAAGGTTAGAAAAATACATTAAACAGGACGAGAGAAAATTGTTAACTTATTTTGGTCGTTTAGCAGAATATGAATATGTCAGCTTGCAGGAGAGAATCCTGGGAGGAATTTCAAAATATCCCTCTTTTTGCATAGTTCTAGGATTAGAGAAAGATGAAGAGAATAGTCAGAGGAATGGGCACAGAGGGCATGATATAATAGTAAAATTGCATGGAGGATGGTGTAAAATATGGCTAGCAGAAGGCCGGAAGTCTGTTAACTTCTTTTGTCATTCAGCAGATAACATCGTGCATGAGAGAAGCAAGGGATCTTGATTTATAGTTACATCTTTTGGGTACTTCCTATCTAGATAGATGTAGCAGCCCGATATTGTCCTTTTTAGGCTTTCCTTTTTCGGCTTCCTCTCAAAGTTTTTAAAACGTGTCTGCTAAGAATAGGTTTTCACACCCTTATAAAGAATGTTTCGTTCTCCTCCCCAACCTATGTGGGATCTCACAATCCACCCCTTTTCGAGGCCCAGCGTCCTTGCTGGCACTCGTTCCCTTTCTACAATCGATGTGGGACCTCCCAATCCACCCCCTCTTAGCGTCCTTGCTGGCACACCGCCTCGTGTCCACTCCCTTTAGGGCTCAACCTCTTCGTTGGCACATGACCCGGTTTCTAGCTCTGATACTATCTGTAACAGCCCAAGCCCACCGCTAGCAATTATTGTCCTCTTTGGGCTTTTCCTTTTGGGTTTCCCCTCAAAGTTTTTAAAACGCATCTGTTAGGGAGAGGTTTCCACACCCTTAAAAAGAATACTTCGTTCTCCAACCCGACCAACTTGGGATCTCACAATAGAACTCTAACGGTCATCTCCTCCTCCTATCAATCACTAATTCTGTTACTACACGCAGGTGGATGATAAACAACATAAGTCTTTACTACACATGTTTAAATTTATAGAAAAAGAATCTCTAATAGGGAAGGACAAAAAAGGAAAGAAAAAAAACTTACAGCAAACCAAGTGCAAGGGAAACCAACTTACCACATTGCCACATGAAGAATGCATCGATAGCAGTGCTCGTTCCAACACATATAGATCAACTGCTTTATCTTCAGGAATAGTTGAAGTAAAGCTCAGACCAAAATCAATAAGGACCTGAAAAAAGACAATTGCTCTTATGACAGAGATCAATTTATTACAAATCTTAGCACGACAAACAAAATTTCTTACATTGTAAATTATTATAACCAAAGATTCAACTCACAAGTTCATTGGTACTACTCCTCACCAACATGTTAGACGTCGTCAAATCACCATGAATTAAACCACCATCATGCAACTTCCCAATTGCAACGCCGATCTGCATTGCAATGTCCTTCAACTGTTTCGAACCATCACCACTTGACCCAATTTCAAGTAATATATCTTTCACAGAACGACCTTCCACATACTCAAATGTCAGGGTATGTAATATCGGGTCAACAGCATACAACACTGGAGTAGAAACCGCGAGTCGCCTAGCTTTGGTCATGCACCTTGCTTCCTATATCATTTAGTTTCAGTCAAACATATGCAAGACAATCTTTTCGCTAGTTATTTCTTCAACTACAAAAAGGCGTTTCGATAGAAGAAAACAAACTGCATTCAATCGCTTGAGTGTGAGTTTGGAATCCAGAGATGGATGTCTATATTTCTTTGAGAATCGTTCCTTAACAATCGATCGCCTTCCTACGAAAGTAGACTCAAACACTCTCTGCAAGGTAAGAACAAAAAACAATATAACAAAAGACCTGTGTACTTAATACCTAAAATTCGTAAGGTGAGTTTGGTATAACTTTTGGAACAATGAAGAACATTTTTCAAATTCTTCACTATGTTTGACTACAAAGTGAAAATTAATTCTGAAAGTTCTAAAAAACTTAGTTAGTACTTCTTCCAAAAATGTTGTTTATAGAATAATCTCCCTTTTCCAAAGAACATCCCGGATTAATGGACTAGAGGTTCAGACTTACAGCTTCAGCTCCTTGCTTAATTAAAACGAGTGAGCCATCATTACTATCCGTCTTTATCTCCATAACTACAGTAGGCAGCAGCAGGATGTGTTGAATAACAAAATAGAAGTTCCTGGAAGAAACTTCCAAGTTATTAATTCTACAACCAGAGCCCTAAACATGAATCCCATAGTGTGAACATATAAACCTACTAATAAACTCAACAAATTTGCAAGAAAAAAATGAATTAGCCAGTAGTTCATACACTTGGAAAATTGGAATCAAGAGAAGGCAAGAACAAGCAGAGTAGAGAAGAATCCCATAAACGAAATTATGATATACGTTAGAGAAACTCACCCGAATTACTCTTAGAATCGATATGAAATCAAACTGAAAATGAAAGAAATACAACTGCAAATGAGAAAAAGGACCCGAACGAAGCCGCAAGTCCTCGTTGTCGCTGGTAGTGTCGTGGTTTAAAGAGGAAGTTTTTGTAAAGATTAGAACCCAAAATTCTGTTAGTCCCCAATTCCAAATTCTATTTTAGCCAAAAACCCTAATGGAACTCAAAAAGCCAAAGTTAATAAATTATATATATATATATATATATATTATTTAGTGCATGAAATACTGTCTATAATTAGTCTTTTTATTTGTAATAATCTTTAAAAATAGTTTTTTTTTATTAAATTAATTAAAAAAAAACCTTTAAAACTTAAAAAAAAATTAATAATACAAAAAGTTTAAAATACATGCAAACATGCTAAAAATAATTTGCAAGAAAAAAATTATGATCGAGACACTCCTTTCTAAATAATTTAACGAAATAATTTTCGAATAAAGTAATTAAAGATGACGACATCATTCCAAAATTTCCTAGTTCTCTAAACTAGGAATGTTCTAACAAAATGTTAAATAATAAAATCAGTGCCGCTTCTTAAATAGTAAATTAAAACATAAGACTTTGAGTTGTCACATGACCGTCCTTTCCACCCTACTCGCCACTCTCTTGCAGTAGTCTTGCTCTCATCTAAAAACATATCTTAAAATAGGGTGAGTATTAAAATATTTAGTGAGGCCAAAGTCATATATGTAAACTATTATATACTTCGTCAATCAAAATCAAGTGACCTTGATGGTTGATTACTCCTGGCACAAAGTAGTGTAATCTACCCTCCTAAAATTGTTTTCAGTAATCAATCCTTAGTGACCAATAGTGATTGATTACCCGATCCACACAGTGTGTAATCCTTACCACGAAAATAATTTTCAACATTCACTCATGTGACCAATAATGGCTAGCTACCCGCACACCACGTATAATCCTACCACATTTTTTTTTATTCAAAAATCATAACATGCACATAATGCGGTCCAAAAATAATTATTTTCCTGATCAATATGTATTACAACAAACAACAATATTCATATAACAATCTATATAATGGTATATATATCCAATCGAATTTTAGAAAACAAAACAGTTTAGTTTCAATAGGAAAGTCTTTTACCTGAAACGTTTTCCTTAATCACTACTAGAAATATCGGTCCAACTCTGACTTAGACCGAACCTACATTAACAGATCTACAAATCAACTAAACTGCACACGGCATAACAATTCCAATACTATTGTCCTCTAATGGAATATATGGCCTCAATTCCTACTTTCCCAACACTGATAGTTGTTGGTGCTTCGACTTCTCACCTTGGTACTTTTGTTACTATACTGAAAGTTAAAGATAATCATTAGTGGTACGTCAAATCCAGAATCGAGATTGAGTTAAAAGTATCAAGCCTTATGAAACTAACTGTTCACTCTTCCTAGCGCCAACAGTAGTGGCTGCTGTAGTAAAGGTGCATAGTGACACCAACAGTGAGCTACCGATGCTTTTGGTAGTCATGGGTGGTCGCATGACAAGGAGATGGGTCTGTCATATATCGCCGTAACATAGACACATGAAATATATTATGGACTCCCGCAAGAGCAGGTGGTAGTGTCAAACGGTAAGCGACTTGCCCAACTCACTCCAAAATTTCAAATGGCTCAATATAGCGTGGTCTTAACTTTTCCTTGCATCCAAACTAAGGACGCCCTTTATAGGTGTCACTTTTAAGAATACCTTGTTCCTCACTATGAACTTAAGATCTCTTTGTCTCACATTGGCATAACCTTTTTGTCTACTTTGACCTGCACGCATCCTAGCTCTTATCTTTTGGATTGCCTCATTAGTAGCTTGGACTAGGTGTGGACCCACCAACTTGCGCTCTCCCACTTCATCCCAACACACATTAAGGATCGACATCTTTTTCCATACATGGATTCAAACGGTGTCATTATCAATCGTCACTTGATAACTGTTAATATACACAAATTCCATAAGGTGCAAATGAGTGTCTCAGCTACCTGCATAGTCCATAATACATGCTCGCAACATATCCTCTAGGGTTTGGTTCAGACGTTTTGTTTGCCCATCTGTCTATGGGTGGAATATTGTACTGAACCCCAGTTGCATACCCAATATTTGTTACAGGCTCCTCCAAAACTGAAGTAAAACAAGAATCTTAATCTAACATAATTGACACTAGTACTCTATGCAATCTGACAACTTCCCTCATAGTACAATTGAGCCCACTGATCTATAGAATAAGTGGCTTTGCCGGGCAAGAAGTGTGCAAACTTCGTGAGTCTATTAATCACCACCCATATGATCGTATAGCCCTTAGTTGTCCTAGGCACTCAGCGATAAAGTCAATTGCAATATTCTCCAATTTTCATTCTGGCATACTAAGAGGTTATAACAATACTGAAGGTCTTTGCCTCGGAGCTTTAACATGTTGACAATTGAGACATTTGCTTACAAATTCAGCTACATATCGCTTCATATTCCGCCACCAATAATACTGCTTCAAATCCTTATACATTTTGGTATTCCCTAGATGTATTGAGAATCGCAAACAATGGGCCCCGGTTAGAGTTACTATCCTCAATTCCTCATTGCTTGACACACACAATCGTCCATGATATATAAGAGTCCCTTGCCAAATGCTAGCAAAAACTCGGTCTGTTCTGTGATTAATAACCTCCATTTCTCGATCAATTTTGAGTCCATCTATTTCTCATGCGATGTCTCAATATTGGTTGTATTGTAAGCTAGGCCAATTGTGTAGTGACTTCCCTCATGAACATGGCTACCTCGAGGTGTTCCATATCACGATCATGGTCCTGATTAGTGATTAATGTCGATGTATGTGTTGATTTCCTACTTAGTGCGTCGCCACCATATTGGTCTTCCCAAGCTGATAGAGTATCTCCACATCATAGTCCTTGACTAACTATAACCACTTTCTTTGTCTCAGGTTCTGTAACGAAAAAAAAAAAAACGCAAGCCGTCGGCAGGACCAAAAACTCCGGTGAACGCTGGAGTTTTCGTTCGCACACGACGCACAAAGGGCGGCCGACGTCTAGGTCACCACGGGAACCAAACCTGACCTTCAGCCACCCCGAAGATACCTGCAGAGAAGAAAAAAAAGTGAAAAACTAGACAGAGAAAATCCGACGAAGCTCCGGTAAAGTCAAACCCTACGAAATCGACGTCAAAACCTCCATTTTACGCAACGAAAGTAATCCCAAAGACTTTTACACACACCAGGGGTAGATTTAGACGGGTCCTACACGTTGTACACCGTCGGGCAAGGGAGACAAGGCATCGGATTTCCAAACCCTCTCAGATCCGGGAGTGTTAGGCCTTTACGAACCAAACAAATACAAAAAACGGAATTAGGGGAAGAAGGAGACTCAGAAACGAAGGAAAAAGGAGGGAAAAAGGATGTTGAAACGACGTTACCGAGGTGAGAGAGAGGTTGCCGGAAAATCGGTGAGTAACCGAGCGAAGAAGACAAAGTCCGACCCGAAGGTTGGACTCCCGCGACCCAAACCGAGCCCAATCCACTTCTATCCAAACCGTGGCCGACAACACTCTCGCGAGCCAGTCGTCTCAGCCCAAACCAGAAAGCCCAGTTATGGCCTAACCCACCAGCCACGACCCGAGAGCAAAAACTCAACCAACCCGAGACCCGCAAGCCCAGTCCGACACCCGACACTAACAGCCCAGCCCACTTACACATTTTCCTTCAGCCCAAGCCGGCCCATCACTCGCGGTCAACCCGAACCTGCGCGCTCGACTCGACAACCCGCGCCTCGACCCGAGACCGATGCACACGTATCGCCCTCTGGTTGTGCCATGTGGCACGTCTACAGCGCGACACCCCTTGGCTCCGGCGGCTCAATCGGCACTAAGTAAGTGGTTCACCCATCGTAGGTTACGCGTTATTTGTTGTATGTTGGCACGTGCCCGTGGATTCGCACGTGTCATTAAATTGTATGCTAGACTCATGTGCTTAAGTACGTAATATTGTGAATGTGAATGTATGTTGTTTAGTCTGATGTGATATGTAGTGCTTATGACGTTTATGATGTTCTTGAATGATTATGGCATGATTGTATGAAATATTTGAATGTAAACAACATGTAATGTATGACATGAAATAAGGTAAATTGCTTGAAATATAACCCCTATAGGATTATGTATATTACGTAGACTGAAAATGATAAATGACATGTTAAGCATGAAATAGGACAGCGGGGTTATATTTGTTAATGACAAAGGTAGAAGTAATGCGGACCTCATGCATTATGTGTGCTCATGCATTTGGGGGGATACCCCTATCCCATCACAAGGGTACAGATGCGTACATCCAATGGCATGACAACGATTGTTATGTCTTGCATAGCGCTACCGTGACGGTTACTAGTTCTAACGGGTGTCCGACCTAAGGAGCTTCCAGAGTATGCTCACCAGACAAGGAAAGTGGCCCAGTGGTGTGCGAACATACTCGCACGTATGGGTTGTGTAAAATATATGGTACACGTCCAAATTTACCCATTAGAACAGCACCGTAGGGAAAACGGAATGAAAGATAGGTCTCATCATCTCATTGCATGTGATTGTTGCATAACCCCGATAGGGGGTCACTTATTGAGTATTCTAGAAATACTCAAGCCTTGTGCTACTTTACTTTTCAGATAAAGACAAGGCACTCATGTGAGATCGACGGCGGCATCGTACACCCCGAGACCGTGGCACATGTGTAGGGTAGTTGTTTTTCATTTTGTAGTATAGGTCTGTATAGGCTGAATTCGATTTGCATCATTAGTATAGGTTAGAATAGGTTGAATTGTAATAGCATAATAAATCATAGGGTAGTATAAGACAATTGTTTGAGTGTTGTTTTTCTTTCCTTTCTTTCCCTTGTAATCATTTTTTACGAGGTAATAAAAGACTAGTGTAGTTGCATTTATGATAAGAGCTCAATTTAATGTAAATTTCTCATTTCAAGATATATTAATGACCTTAGATTAAAGAGGTTAAATTTAGGATCATTACATGTTCAACTCTTTTTGGGTAAAGAAGTACTTTAGGCTTCTATGGTCGGTGAAAATTTGGATCTTCTCCCCGTACAGATAGTGCCTCCAAA